AGCTCAACTGTAGTATGTCCTGCTTGAAGCAGGCACATTTTCCTGGTGAATATCTTTTCCTATCCTGGACCTCATAGGTGTCGTACTCCTGGTCTGGGTCAATGAACCCCCGGTACCCACAGCCTCCCTCCAAGTTTATGAGAGTTGGCAAACCCCTGGCCTCCTTCTGTGTCAGGGACTGGCGCCGCCAAGCACATCCTCTGATTGTGACCCTCAGGCCTTGGCAGTAAATAATAAGTTTTCTCACTTTAATTAGGCTGAGATTCATTCCTACCCATGGCAGCTGCAAAGATGTCATCTCCTTACAATTAGACACTGCAATACTTAGCATTGCTTGGACTCAATTTTAAGTACATTTTGGTGGCCCTTGTCCCTCCTCTGCACCTTGGTTGCTCCAGGAGAGAGCATATGGCCCAGTAATCCTTTAAAGCTTATTTTATGGGCCATTCTCAGGCACTTCCTGCCAGCCTTTGGAACAGAGCCTTGTTTGTGACTGCGTTTTTGCTTATGTTCCTGACAAATGCTTCCTCCAAAACCAGCAATAAAACCGCAGGATCTGATAAGCCATGGTCATCAGAATGGCTTAATGAGAGCAACCTCAACGATCGGGGTCTTTAACAACAACCTGCTCTGCAGGACTTATACCTTGAGCACAAGGACGGGCTGGGCAGGTCACCTTTGTAGCTTATGGGAGTTTCTCCAAATAATACAGAATTTGAGACCATCTCAGGGAATGATCTCACACTAAGCTGTTTTCTCTTAAGCAAAAATGGATAAGACAAAAATAGGAACTGGTAGTTCTTTTTGGCCTCTCCTCATATAAGAATAAATCTAGAGTCTTGAAAGGTGTTACAGAGCAAAGAAAATCTCATTGGGTGCTCAAATGGCTACCTAATTCAGTCAACCTTGCCTCAAAAATACCTGAATTATATCATGTCTCTGGCTAGCAAAAAGGTACTTGAGGTAGAAGTTGGATACATAAAACAGATCTTGATCAAAGTGTATTCACATGAGATGGCACTTAGTTTAAATAAGGCAGAATTATATCTTGTCTGTCATCTGTGGCTATTAAACAGTTTTAAAATCTGAATTATTAATTAAAACCTGTGAACTAGTACCAGTTTGGAATGACTGTGTTTTGATAACTAACAGGAATTGTATGACTTTTGAGAGCTATATGGCAATTATTAGATACCCCATTGTAGTCGTAAAAGACAGGAAGAAATTATGTTGCTAGCAGATCCTATTATAAATGGAAATGAACACAGAATATATTAAGATATCAGTGGTCTTATCAACAATGTGTTATAATGGCTTCTGATTAACACTGAGAACATGATTGATGTTACTGGGAATATGGCACACTGACAATGTGACACTGAGAAAATTCAATACAAAGCTTGTTAATTTCATAGAATCATTCAATTTCTCATTACTCCTTTGTGACAGTTTTTGTTTTTGTGAGCATTAAAAAGTAATGACAATTTAATGGGACCTTTCAATAATGATAGTAGGAAAAACATTTTTAAATCCTCACCTGTTATTTCTAATAGAAATAGAGACAATGAATACGATATATTGATTTTTGGTTTTATAAAGAGTTTGTTAGCTTGATTCTTATTGAGTCACATTTAAAATTATGCAAACCCGAGTCACAAAGGACTCCCAAGTCAAGGCAATAGTTCACATCAACAGTACCAAACATATGTAGGTTGATTTAGTATTTCCATGGCCAAAGAAGAAGGGGCACATATTTGATTAAAAATCTTTAAGAAACAGACAAGGCATTCCAGGTCCTGAATTAATGTAAAGCTAATGACTAATCAAAAGCAGCTGGAGGAAGATAAGGGGATGTAGCTGGGGATAAGTAGAGTTTATTTTGGCCAAATATTTGTATTATTAAAAGTAGAGAACATAGAAGAGTTACTAAATTTATGTATCAGATTTAATCCATCTATTTCATTGAACTCTTACTTTTCATGGATGGAGAACAATTCTACAAGAAAGAATACTTATTTGGTAAATAACATAGGTAAACAACATGGATGCTTCAGATGGAAACATCCATGCACAAAAAATTTTATGGAAACCAAAATATGCTATTTAACCTTTTTTTTGCAAATTCACGTATCTGAACTTTGTATCAGTCAGAGGAAAATACAGTGGCATGACCTAATCATTTGGAGTGTTGTTATCATAATAATTACCACATACTAATTACCTCTTCTATAACACACTGTAGGTTAGACACTTTGATTCACTATTTTATTTAATCCCCATAGCAAACCTGATAAATAGGTATATTTATTGCATCTTTTCCCTTCCTCAGTGATTTACCCAACACTGCCATCCGTTTCATTGAGAAATTTGAAAACACCGGGAAAATCTTTCTCATCAAACCAGCAGAGAATTGTACAGTCTATCCTGTATCAATAATTAATCTTTTGTCTTAATTCTGCCTTCCTTACAAAGGTCAGCACTTTCATAGGGGTTCTGATTGCCGCCTTTCTGACTTTTCAAGAACTATACCATAATGTGTGTCTTAGAATTATCAATCTCTTTCTTTACCTGGTTTTTACATCAGTAGAGCACCCATGCCCTCCAAATTCTTCCCTATTCTCAAAATCTCACCTCCCATTCATAGCCAACTCTAAAGAGTTTGCACACCTGTGATCCCCATGTTCTTATCTACTATTTATCCCTCAATTCACTTTGGCCTTTCTCCATAATTTCACTTAAACTTCTCTTGTCAAGATTACAAGTGACCTTCATGTTGCCCAATATGACATTTTTCTGTCCACATCTTATTCCATGCTATAGACCCTGCTTTCTTCTTTCTTCCCCTTCTTCTCTCTGTCCTACTCTCTTCTTCCCTCCTTCCCTTTCCTTCCTTCCTTTTTCCTTTCCTCATAATTCTCTACTCTACTTCTAAACATTGGAGATTTTTAGAATTTGATTCTAGACAACTGTCAAATTGCTCATGCCAAAAATTTTAGAGTCATCCCATGGGGATTACATACATTCCTATGGCTTTAAATACTATATATATACTGATAAATTCTATTCTTATAAATCTGGACCTTACTTCTCCTCTGATTTCAGTGCTCATATCTTATATAGCATACATGACATTGTCATTTAAATAATTCATGGATAAGACACACATAATATATACAAAATAGAAGTCTTCAATTTCTCTAAATTACAACAATAATTTATTGCAATTATACTCCGATAAAGTCGTTAAAATGAGCAAAAAATTACACAAATTTAATCTTTATATATTTTTTAAAGATAGAGAGGTGTAGGTAAAGACTTAATAATCTCTACTTCCATATGTCCCATTCCCTTGAAACAATCAAGGTGAATATTAAAAATATATATTCTGTTATAGCCCCAAATGCTGATTATTGCAGTTTCTCATTGACCCTTGTCCACTATGTGCCAATGAACAGTGCTTCCTTTCAGTATTGTGACATTTCCCTGTTATTTTCTACCTCTAGGTTTTGAAACCTGGTTTTTGGTTTTTGTTTTTTCACAAGGAATATTTTCCCTGCTCCATACCACCATTGCATGGCTGTCTCTTTCTCATCCAACAAATCTGCGTTCTATTCTTTTCATTCACAAGATATGTCATTGGGATAAAAGGTTAAACTGCTATAACACAGAGACCCCAAAATAAATGCCTCAAACAAGATAGGAGTTGACTTATCTCTACTCTAATGATCCAGAGTGGATGTTCCAGATCAGCTGTAGTTGTACTCCATGCAGCCACTCAAGTACCCAGATCAAGAAGATCTTTTATGTCATTAGCAATCTGGGTGCTGGGGGGATGGGTGGAGAACATAAATCTGTGGAGATTTCCTTTCACACATAATATATGGAAGTTTCACTCGTTGTTTCTGCTTGCCACATTAATAATAAGGATGTCTGACAAATGTATCCAATGGTTAGAAAACTGTATTTGTTCTATAAATCTACTATTATGGAAGAAGGGAGAACACATTTTTATAGACAGTTTTTACCCCACAATAATTATTACAATTTGTAAATGTACATTTGTTCACTTATTTTTTAAATTGTCTTCTAGTTTTTCTGTTTAACAATAAGCATAATAAGGGCAAGGTACATGCCTGGTTTATTTACTAATATGTCTTCTCTCCTTAGTACAGTTCCTGTATTTTTAGTAGGGGGTTTAAAACAAATTTGTTAAAAGAGTAAATGAGTGTATAATGGGATTTTACAGGTCAAATAACTAAGTTCAGAAAAGTTCAAAAACTACCTGTTCCTGGAGACTGAATGAGGATTCCAGGAATGTGGAAGGATTTGTACTTCATATGGATGGTTTAACAATGTAACTTGTTAGCTTTCTGCTAACAGTGTATTTCTATGATTCTTTGATGTTGTAGGAAATTGCAGCATTCTAAACAAGATCATGAAGCTGCTTTGTGAAGGAATAGAATGAGAAAATTAGAAAATATACCTTCTCTCTCAATAGTTCAATCACATAGAACTCTTTACCTCACACCATTCCATCCTAAATTCTCACAGACTCCATCTGCACATCAAATACCAAACATTAATCAAGAGGGCTAGAGGCTGCAGCAAACTTGCTGCATACTTTTTGTTTTGTTTTATTTTATTTTGTTTTTTTAATCACACCTTCCCTGGGCAAGGAAAGTAAATATGTGCTGAGTTTTAAAGATTTCCTGCTGGGCTACAAACTGCCTGGGAGAATAAAAGCAAATAGATAGTAGGTAATGTTAATAAATGTCTTCATCACATACTCCATTTAACTATATGAAAAAGAAAGGAGAAAAGAAGAAACAAGAGTTTTAGAGATAATAATCAGTGTATACAAATTGATCATCAACTAAATCTTCTGGTCAGTCAAGTATGAGTGTCCCTTACTGTTAAAAATAAAAATAAGTTCAAAATTCTACTTTAAAATATTATTTACTGCAAGATAATTCTAAAGATGTTTTTGTTTGTTTTCCAAGATATTGAAGACTTTGAAACCAAAACAAGAAGTGCAGTGTCCGTCCGAGAAGGTCAAGGTGTGGTGCTTCTCTGTGGCCCACCACCACACTTTGGAGGTATGGTGGGGGATAGTTTGGGTCACACCATCAATGTGGTCACTGGAGGAGTAAAGAAGGCACATCATGTCTTGATGTAGTAGCTCTTTAACAAGTCAAAAGGACTGTGAAGTCTCTTCATGTTCATCCTCCTGTATCTAAACAGTACTAATCTAAATGTTTTTAAAAGAAATTTTTGTTTAAGCAGTCAGTCAACAAACATGGCCTTAAGGAGATGCAGCATGGCAGCCAGCATGAGTGCCAGGGTACAAAGTGAAACTGACTGCTGCTGCATTCTGATGCTTGTCACCCTGAATAACAAGAGACAATTTGTTTAACTACTCTAGGCTCAGTTTCCTCATCTGTAGAATTGAGACACTGATATCTGCACTATAGTGCTTTCGTGAATATTAAGTGAGCTAGTGAATGTAAACTGATCAGTGTAGTGGCTCGTATTTATTCAGAAAAGAAAGCTGAGATTGTTATTTCGTTGTTATTATTGACCTCCATGGAAAAGCAAATTCCAGCATTCCTTTTGGCACCCTCACTTTAACTATTGGAAGAGGAGAGGTACTCCATTAATTAGAAGCAAATTTTGGATGGCACAAAATCAGAATATCTCCTACCAATGGTAAAATCATGCAGTCAATGACAGTCTCTGGTTTGTAAGAATCTGGATTGACTTGGGAATTAACCTGTTGCCAGGGACCTAAACCACCTACTGATTCTCACCCCCTCGGGGTTGCATTTTGTCAAATTCCAAATGATTTGATAAAATTTGGTAGATTCTCAAGCAACAATGAATCTGGAAGAGGCAATATCACAATATCCATGGATTCATTTCATTTGGTTCAATTCAATATCATACTGATGGTATTACAGTTACCTTAATAATAACAGCAAGTACTTACAAAGTAGAGATTTGAGTACTTTGTACGTATTAACTTTTCAATTTCTCACAGCAGCTTCATGAAAGACAAACTATGATTATTGTTTTGCAAATGAGAACAATAAGGTAGACAGAGGTTAAGTAACCAGTCCAAGATAACACAGCTGATGGGCAGCGGAGCCAAGCTTCAAATCCCAGCAGTCTGGCTCCTCAGAGCAGCCTTTTATAGTTTATTTCCACTCTGCAATGGGAGGATTTTGAAAGCAAATATAACAAATATTTAAAAATAAAACAGAAGCAATTTTATCCCTATATTAAACAATCTTTTAAAAACTTGGAAACACTTTTCCATTATTTTCATTTTTACACAATCTCCTGAACTGCTGATAAAAAAAGAAAAGGAAACTCATTAGAAGCTAACAACACTTTATTCAGTAATATTAGAGTAGTATAGCATTATGCTCACCTGCAATATTAGGTGAGAGTTACTATTTTTGATGCTGTCTGAGATAAAATATTATTCCAGAGCATTGAAAAAAAAATTGATGGTGCTTATTTTTTAACCATAGGGAAATTATTTTTTAGTACTATAATGTAAGATGACAAGATATACAAAGCCATGTCTGTTTGTGCTGTCTGTCTGTGTCATTTTATGCTGACTTTGGTCAAAGAATCTTGACAGGATTGAAGATTGTTTTCACCTTTGTTTAATCTAAATAAAGGAAGCAGAAATGTCAAATATTTGTAAATGAATGCCACATATTTTAAAAAGGCAGCCAATGGGGCACCCGGGTGGCTTGGTAGGTTTAGCATCCAAGTCTTGGTTTCAGCTCAGGTCATGATCCACTCCCAAGTTGGGCTTTGCGCTCAGGGCAGTCTGCTTGTCCCTCTCCCTCCGCCTCTTGTTTCTCACCTGCTTTCTATGCCTCTAAAATAAATAAAATCTTTAGAAAAAATAATAAAAATAAAAAAGGCAGCCAAGTAGAAGCTTTCCTTGTTACCTTGTTACCTACCACTGTTAAAGTATATGTTGATCATTTAAAGCATGTACCCCTTGTAACGGTGTACCTCTGCTTATGCCACGAAGTTAAGTCCCAGATAGACAAACACTGCCTCAGTTAAGATCTTTTTAATTGAATAACTAATGCCTGTTGCATGTAAGTTATGACAAACTTGTCTGATGCCAAATTTGATTATATCATATGGAATGTTTTAGCAGGATCCCAAGGGTATTTGTCAATATTGAGTTCATCCAACTATTTTTATGTATTTGGGTATATCCAGGTATTATAAGAATTTTCATCCAGAGAGCTCTAGGATGTGTCATGGACTTCCTCATCTCCACAAGGGCAGAGATACTGGAATATTGTTCTTCTGTTCCTTATAGCTGTCCTAGATCAAAACTGTGGGGAATATTGACAGACGCCCTTTGATCCAATTATACAAATAGTCATCAATTAGTTAGAAGGAGAAAGTATTAATAATAGTGACAATGGCTACCAGTTATTGAATTATTATCATGAGCAAGCCCTATTAGAGTTTCCATTTATTTTCTCCTTCCCAGTATTCCAATAATTAAGAACAATAAATTTAAAATGAGGAAACCAAGACTCAGATAAACTAAGTAAATCAGTTTTCAGTTAGTAAATGAAAGCAAGATTCCAAAGCAGGAATTTCTGACATAAAAAAAAAAAAAATGCCTTTGGAGAGAAAGCTCTGTAGTTAATGGTTAAACCTCAGATTGTTTATCAGTTTCAACACTCCTACACCTCCTGGGTTTGCTAAGAGTTCTATGAGTGTCTTTAACTGGCTCATTTAAAACAATTTCTTATTCTTCCTTTTCCATTCTCACCTTCCTGTGAAGGTGAATTGTGCCAAGAAAGACTTCAAGAATGCAGAGAAACATATTGGTTGGACAACCTTCAAATTGGATTAGTGGACAGCTGGTTTAAAGTGAGCCAAATTTACACATAGACATTTCTGTCTTTGTGATTTTTTTCTGGGTTAGCGCATATATGTATATATACACACACATGTATGTATATATGCATATGTATTTGTGTGTGAATATATGTATGTGTATCTATCTATATATTTCTTTAGTATATAACAATCTACCTTAAACTTAGTAGCTTCAAGCAACACCCATTTATTAGCACACAGGTCTATATATCAGAAGCCAAAGGATGATGTGATTGGTCTCTCTACTCAGAATCTTACAAGGATAAAATCAAAGTCATGACCAGGTGGCATTCTCTTCTGGGAAGTCTGAGGAAGAATCCACTTCCAAGCTCTCTCAAGTTGTTGGCTAAATTTGGTTCCTTGCTATTGTAGTATTAATGTTCCCTATTCCTTGCTGGCCAGATGTCAAGGGCCACTGTCATCATCTAGTGGATGCCCACATTTCTTGCCATAGGTCTCCCTCCATCTTCAGAGCCAGCAGCAAAGAATATCCCTCACATCAATTCCCTCTGATAGTTCAAATCTCTTTAGCCAGGACAAGGGAGAAATTATATTAAACTCGATATTATCAGAACATTCTGAGTTCTTTATATTTTCTCTCTAGCATCATCACACACACAAAAATTTTTTTAAAGATTTTATTTATTTATTTAACAGAGAGAGATCACAAGTAGACAGAGAAGCAGGCAGAGAGAGAGGGAAGCAGGCTCCCTGCTGAGCAGAGAGCCCAATGCCAGACTCGATCCCAGGACCCTGAGATCATGACCTGAGCCAAAGGCAGCGGCTTAACCACTGAGCCACCCAGGCGCCCCTGGAAAACATTTCTTAACAAGGCAGGCCTATCATATACATTTTAGTGTGTTTTATAAAACAAAAACCAAAAACCAAAAGCAAGAACCATGGGAGAGTAAGAAAAATTATCAACTAGGTTGAATCCTATAAATTTACCCAGGGGGAAAAAAAATAGCTCCAGGAACAAAACAAAAGAAAAAAGTGTGTAGATGGATTTCCCATAGAAATGATTAGTGACAACTCAGTGAAACAGAGTAATCAACATAAGCCAAACTGAACAGATGCTGTTATCTGGATGTCCTTTATTATTATTTTTTTCTGAATAGACCAAAGGAGACCTGACTCCAGAATAGCTTTCTCATGGACCTGACTCCAGAATAGCTACCTAATTTTTAAAGTAACCACAAATGTGCTATCCTTCTAGAGAGGATTTACAGATAAAGCTTATTCTAGAGGAAAGTACTCATAATAAAAAAGAAAAGAAACCTAGGCAATAATGCCAGAACACAAAACTGGCACATTCTGCTTTATCTCTTGGAAATGTGATATTTGGACATAAAACCAGAACTATTCCCTATACTCTGAGGAGAAACGTATATTTGCTTCCTTAATCCTATTTCTTAACTAGAGATAAACCCCATGAATGTGACTGAATGCCAGTAGAGCCAGATTAAGCCCTCGTTTCCATCTTCCTAAAAATATAATTCTAAAATATTACAGAGAAATATAAGTTTTACTGAAAGTTTTGTCTGAAGAACACAGAGAGTGCTACGATGCACATCTGATTGAAACCCTTTTTTCCCTATTAGACATCACTTTCCTTTCTCCTAAAGTCTCTTAACGATAGTCTATGACTTATCTCATCTCCACACAATCTCCAGCAGTCCCTTCTATTGTCTGTTATAGGTATTATCCTTAATTTGGATACCCATGTCAGAAAAATACAAGTCTCCTAGTTAGCCTCTAGGTGCTTGGCAAAGGTAAAATTTGGTAGTCCACTAAGTAAAGTCTTCCTTTCCTCTGCTAGGTCTCTGGACGATTCTAAGTTCTCTTCTCTACATCCAGGTTTATGTGACAGTAAGAGGCAATACACTATTTATTTTACTCATTCATTTGGGGGAGGGTCACTGAACCTTGAGGTAGACTTGGAACTGCCATGCAGAGAGGTCTTTCTACCATGGGTTTTCACTCACCTCCAGGATGAGCTTTGATTAAGAGCACTGGTCACTGGTAACAGAGATTCTGCATAAGTCATTTGCAACAGCACTGAAAGCAAAATTTCAGACTGTAAATTTTTCTAATGGACATGAAACTCTTGAAGCCAAGGCTGTAGGTTCCATATGAAAATAAGTTGTCAATAGATTTTCATGGGTGCAGG